CCAGCTGTATCTGCAAATTTTTGGCAAACATACTGGGAAAGTTGCATGTTTGGAGATCTGATTATTCTTACATATTACATCAACCCCAGCCTTCCAGAGATATCTGTCACTTCATAAATAGTAGAATCCCATGAAAATTCACAGAAATGAAAGCATAAAAATTGCAAAGTTGTATGTCACTGACAGGATTTGAGAAGGCTTTGGTGGGGGGAAGGGAAGATAGATATGTTAGTCACACATCATTTGGTTTTTAGTTGTAATCGTTTTGAAAAATACGAAATAACAGATCTGATTTGTCTACAGGTTCTAATTTACTAGCCACGCCTGACTTCAGTGGCCTAACATTGCAAGCCTGAGAAAACTAACATCAGAATAATCTTTCCAGAAATACATGCTTAAATACTGCATAAAGACTGACCGTAGATCCTGCTTCATAGCCCAGGACTGGCACATTTACTCTGCATAGAAAAAAATTGGGCAAGATACCCAGTTATCTATATGGTAACAAGAAGTTCAAAAGAGGTAACTGGATAAACCAATGGGAATGGCTGAAACAAAGAACAAGACTAGAATCAAAAAAGGATATGCAAACTAATACCTGATGTCAGCTCTTTATACTCCCCCCCACCCCCCCATTGTGCTAATGCTTGAAAAGAAAATTAGGACTAAAATACCATGGATATATGTGCAGGAAAGACAGACAGAGAGTATTTTAAAGTACAAAAAAATTGTAAGGAAAAGCAAGCAGCAACATGTGTTCAAGAATTCTCTCATGAACATACAAAGGTCTTAGATACGAAGACATCCTAGGACATTATCTTGGACTAACTTAAGGTCCATAAATTTTTAAGTCCTGTCACATATGCTCCAAAGTGAATCACAGCTGTGATTTTTACAACCTGAATTACTCTGGAGATGCAAACAATCAGGTAAGACTTAGTTGTGATCTTTAGAGAATATATGTTCTTCTGAGCATTTCACTGCTTTAATATTAAGTCCAACTCTTAACAAGAATATGCATTTCTCATTTGAGATACAAATTTGAACCAACAGCTAATTTGGCACGGAAGAATATGAAGTGAGGTCAGTATTTTAATCCTAGATTTGGTTTTGAAAAATTTATCCCTAGATGAAGTAGCTTGTCCCCCTCCAACACAACTAATACTGCAATAACTGTTGTAATAGCAAGTAAAAATAACAGTGGAAGTATATAAAGCTGTGCATTCTAGTGTGTTTTGTGAGCCAGCCAAAAATAATTAGGCTGATGTCCACTGATTACATGCTACAACACAGATGTTTTATCAAAGAATGAGATCGTTTCTGTAATACTCTACTGGATATTTTGCATATAGCAGTTCAGATCCACGTATTCTTACCTGTTTACGTTTCTATTTCTCGGAATTAGCTACCACTCCTTACCTTAGTAATCAAACATATCTCCAAAAAAATTGAGGGTTTGTCACCCTTTTATGTGACAGTTCATGCTGAACTGCAACTGTGTGCAGGTTGTATATAATATATATAAATTTATAGGCATGAAAGCATAGGTTTTCACATTTGTTTCTGTAGCTGCATAACTGGAACTATGAACTTGAATTTTTATGTGTTAACCTTTTAGCACATTGATTTTTAAACATGAAAAACTGAGTTTTGCTGAGTGAAACAGGATGTGAAGTATCACACTTAAAAAATATAACAATATTCTACGGTAATTACCCCAAATTGCAGAATTGCTATTGTTGGTTATAGTGTGTCAAACCATTGCTACAGAAATTCTGTAGTAATGTTTAAACAAAGCAAAGAAATGCTTGATTTGTACAGGTAAATACAATTTGCCTACCCAAAACTGAGTTGTAATGCCCAGGAAAATTAACATTAGTTGATCAATTTAACTTTCAGATCATGCATAGAATTATCAGCTGTGTATCTCCTCTGTTTACACTGTGCAACAATACAAAGGTAGAACTCTTCTCCTATCTATATTATGATAACTTTAGATCAATTAGTGAAAGTACAGCATACAGCACAAAAATATAAAGTGATTTTTTCTAAAGACTTATTCCACTGCCTTTTTTTCTAACCGGCCACTTACTGGCGTTATAAGAATGAGATATTATACCACCTTTATAATAAACACAAGATTTTTGGATAAGAAACTATCTAACAGAAAGGAATCTTTTAAGATTGAATGGCAGGTCTGATTAGAGCTTCTTCACTTATAAATGAAGCAGATATTCTGCAAAGACCTACAAAGTTTAAATCAAAATTGTTCCATTAAGCAATCAGTGGTGATCTGAGGAACATATGTATGATTTTCATTTTATTTCATGAAATCTTTATTTCATGAATTTTGTGTCATATTACTTCATGAGCTATCCGTCTGTCTATGTTGATGTCCTACCCTTGCTACTACCTGTCTTAAAGACATCTGTAAAGGGTGTCTTGATGCATTTTTCCGTGCATAAGTAATTCATCTGAGAGGAACAGACTTTGAACAGATTTTTCCTGGAAAGAACAAAATGAGTAACTACTGGGTTCTCTTTGGGTTCTCTCAAGAGCAAAACACAAAAACCAAGAGTTCATGACAGCACTGTGGAGCTCTTGATCTCACCTGTCCACATGGTCATTACTGTGCCATAAGCATGATGATCTGCTTTGATATGTTGAGCCAGATTACTGAACTGCAATTTCAGTTCAGCTTGTTTCAAGACAGAGATAGTAAGTACTTAATTGAAACTGATTAAATAACATTGTTCAAAGAAATTATCATTAATCACCATGTAAGAATGTGTATCTGGCAACATCTAACCGCAGAGCTAAAGACTGACATTGTTATGACATAAATATAACAGTTATAAAGGTCTTGAATTTCTAGCTACGTCCCAAGAAAAGGAGCCCTTAGTATAGTCCTCTCTTCTGCTTGGGGTGGAGAGATTTAAAAATCAGAAAGTCAACATCTTTGCTCAAAATTATGGTCAGAATAGAACAAGGTAGACAATATGCCCAATTTCTTTGAGCTTGAGGAAATTCTGGTATAAAAACACTACATATTTGTGTACTAGTTTCAATGGTCTGAAGTTTGTGCACAGAAGAATCAATGCCAAGAATATTCACTGTCCATAAATATTATACTGTCTCAAAGCTGAATTCGTAAGAAACTATCTGATGCAAACTCCTGTTTCACATTTAGAAAGGAATTTGTCTCACCAGTCCTGGCCATGTGGCCAGCACAAGACAAAGGCATTAATGTCAAAGCCTATTGCAACTGCACACATCCATGTTCATCTACTTCCACAGCAATATGTCCTTTTCAGAATTTATGCTTCTAAATCGTCACTGCCAGCTGCTGTCTTCAATTTCACTCTCCAAAAGATGCTACGTTGACTAGACAAACAAGCAGAAAAAAGATGAGGCTTGACTGGACCAGCGGTACCTTGAGTTGCACTTAGACCTCCCTAAAGATTGAGGGACGACAAATGGCAGCAAATGGCAACTCCATCAGAGTACTCCCTCTGCTTCCTCTTGAGTCAGACCCACAGCGAGTGAGTGAGTGAAGCAGTTCTTCCAGGGACACGAGGACAAGGGCTTACACCAAGGAAACGGTGCTACGCTGTTCTGAACATATTGCAACTAATGAAAATCTTCCTCTTCTCTGTGAATCGTAGTAAAGAAGAAAATCAGGTAAATATTACTGATTTATCACTGGTTTGCACAGTATCATTCCAACAGTAGCTCTGTGTGTTGGCAGTATTTCCCTGAATTCTCTGGCTTCAGCAATTCAGTTGTTACTATTTTTGTATTATCTGGTAATTTAAATACAGCTATTGTAGGTTCTTCAGCCTGTGTTAGATATTCTCTATACTCCCCAGAGTTTTGTACTTCCCATTTTATACTTCTTCTCTTATCAGTTGTCATCTATTGTGCCTGAGTATTTTACTCTTGGGTGCTTCAATTATATATGAATGTGATGTGCATCACAGCAGCTAGTTTCCATTTGCCGTCTAAATATCTTTGTACATGAATGGAGTAACCTACATTTAAACTTCACAGAGAGTTGTGCAAATCTATTGTATTTCAGCTTTTAGATTTTTTTTGTCTGATTACTCTTATTTGATAATTGATTTCTAGCTGTTTTTTCCTCTGCTTTCCAAATCTAAAACAAAATTCTCTTTCCTAAAAGGAAAAGAAAACAAGTTAGGAAAGAAGTCACAGCCTGTCCCTGAACCTGAAGGAAAAGAGGCCACATATACAAAGAACATTGCTGTGTGCTTTGTAACTGGCTTGGGATATGAGAGGGCCCATCTGATAAAATAGGTTTAGTCCTCACACTGGCTCCCTTGGTGGAGATCATGTGTACTTGACCTGGGTGATTTCTTTCAAAAAAGTCTACTACAAATAAGAGTAGCTTGTCTGAGTTTAATGTCTTAGTAGTAACAGTAACTATTTGCAAAGCTTTGGTAGTGCCCCTAAGACTGATTTTCAGAACTACTTTCGTCGCACAATTAAAGCAGAAGCTGTTTCTCAGTGCTTGTAAAAATAAGACACTGAAAATAGAGAGGCAAGGTCCCTGCCCTAAGAAGAGCGTTCCTTACACAAAATCCAGGAAAACAGGAAGGTAGGCACATGGACTGGCAGTGACAGTTACAGGAGCCTCCTTAGTTTCTATGCTTTCGTTCTGATTTACTTCCACAAAATATTTGCAATGTCAAATACAGGTAAATATGTTTACACACTTCATGCATAATTTCTCTTTAATCTAAATATAAATACACTGAAGGGAAAATCAAGCAAACCTCACATCATGCTTCCCTATGTTCCCTAGGCAATATCATAGGACAGTGAAACACTATTTAGTATATAATTTTAGTGTACAATATATATTTGTCAAATTCTTTTAATTTTGAGGTTGGACTG